CTTAGGCACGCACACACACAGTATCCTGGCCTAAGTTTTAAGCCTCTTGGACTCGAACTGCAGTCAACTCTGTGGGAGTCCAGCAACGTAACCATTACGCCATCTGCTGGTCCCTACAGGGAGTCCTTTTGTTTGCTTCATTCTCTTTTTTTTAGAGAGGTTTTTTGCTATAGAGCATGTCTGCTTTCCAGAGAGACAGGAAGTAAGAAATCATCCCCAGGGGGATGGCCTTGCTGCAATCCCTTCTCCATTCTCCTCATGCCCAGCATGAGTTTTAAGCCGCTGGGTCCAGGACTCGAAATGTGGTCAACTACATGGGAGGCCAGCAATGTATCCAGTACACCATCTGCTGGTCCTTAGGCAGTCTTTTTAAGAGGACAATCACTAGTAGTCTTTTCCTTTCATATATATACATATTATATATATTATATATATATGAAGGCTATATCTATATGTATATATGAAGACTATGTACATATTACTCCATAATATTTCCACCTGTGGGTTAGCCCTGTAGCCTGCTTTTTAAGGGAGAAGTATCCCACATGGCCAATCACATTTTGAATCCTGGCCCCAAAAGCTTGAAAAACACATGAATGGGGAACCAGCAGTGAGCGTAATGGCTATGTCGCTGGACTCCTACATAGTCGACCGCGGTTCGTGTCCTGGACCCGGTGGCTTAAAACTCACGCCGGGCGCGTGTGCGTGCGTGCCCAAGATCCCGAGAGGAGAATGGAGGAGAAGGGATTGCCGCGTGACCCCCCCCCCCCCGGGGGGTGATTTCTCGCTTTCTGTCTCTATGTCTCTCTCTGTCTGGCGAGCGCACGCACCCTATAGCGAAAATCTCTCCAAAAAAAAAAAAAAACACATGAATGCAAGTGTGTGTCCCAAATCCAGACAAGGCAGAGAAATGGAGAAGGGATTTCAGTTTGACCATGCCCTGTTAAGGGGTGCTTACTCCTCTCTCTCTGGTGAACCTAAGTGCCTTCTGGCAATTAAAAAAAATTGGGGGTTGGGGAGCCAGTACTTGGCATGGTGGTTAAGGTGCTGGACTCCCACATGGTCAATCACAGTTTGAGTCCTGGACCTGGCAACTTGCTTTCTCACTTTTTCCCTCCTCTCTCTCTCTCTGTATGTTCCTCTCTGGTGAGATCACATGCCCTACAGCAAATTAAATAACAACAATGGTGGTTAAGGTGCTAGACTCCCACATGGCTGATCACAGTTCGAGTCCTGGATCTGGCAGCTTGCTTTCTCGCTTTCCCTCTCTCTGGTGAGCACACTTGCCCTGGAGCAAAATTTTAAAATAATAATAATGATGATTAATGAAATTAAATGATCAAAATAAAATTAAATAATTCTTTTAAAAATAAAGAAAGGGACGGGCACGTGTGCGTGCATGCCCAAGATCCCGAGAGGAGAACGGAGGAGAAGGGATTGCAGCATGGCCATTCCCCCTGGGGCGTGATTTCTCGCTTTCTGTCTCTCTGTCTCTCTCTGTCTGTCTGGTGAGCGCACATGCCCTATAGCAAAAATAAAGAAAGGGGAAAAAATGTTTTCCAGCTCTATGTTTTTGATCTGTTTCCCAACTGGTATCAAGCAGTTTGCTGTGACCGGACTGGGTACATTTTTTGTGTGTGTTTGTTTGGCTATTGGTTATATTTTTGAGGGGAACATGACTTTTTTGAATAGAAAACTGTTTTTCCAAATGGTCTTTCTAGCTTCACAAAATAGCCCATAACAACCAGTGAACATTCCTGGGTAAGAAATTCCAGCTCTCTACGTTTAAGGAGCTACTACTCTTCTGTAACCTTTACCTCTTCACATGAATTCTTTTTTTTTAAGAGATATTTTTGGTATAGGGCATGTGCACTCACTGGAGAGCCAGAAAGGGAGAAATCACCTTCCAGAGGTGATGACCACACTACAATCCCTTCTCCTTCTCCTCCATTCTCCTCTCAGGATTTTGGGCATGCACACACACGCACCTGGTGCAGGTCTGGGATTCGAACCATGGTCAGTCATATGGGAGTCCAGCAACATAACCGTTACGCCATCTGCTGGCCCTGCAGAAGAGTTTTTTAGTAGTCAAAATGTTATTTACATTTTTCTTTGAGAGCTCGAGTAGGGCTGTCTCATGGACATAGGAAGCCTGCAGGTAGTATGGAGCTGGCATTGGGTACCTTGCCCCAAGCCTAGACTTTCGTTGGATGTGGTGTCTCACCGATGGCAATATATCGATTATATTAACTCTCCTCTCCCTTCCACAAATTAGCGCAGAAATTCTTCCTGGGGAAAACGGGTTGTTCAGAACTGTTCTTTCCATAAGAACTGTTCTTCATCCTGCCTCTCACTGCAGAAATTAATGCTTCTTTTTGGGATGAAGTCACAGGATCCCACCAAGAGGGACACTCGTCCCTGCTAGAGACTTACCGGAGCAGCATCCCCGTGCCACAGGCCACACAGTCTCCGCAATGTGGCGGCCGTAGCCCCCTGGGCTTTTCTCTTTTAGTGGCCAACATTTTATTTTTTAAGAATTATTTATTTATTATTATTATTCAATTTGACCAGAGAGAGAGAGGGAGAGGGAGAAAGCAAGCTGCCAGGTCCTGGACTTGAACCATGGTCAGCCATGTGGGAATTCAGTGCCTTAACCAACCACACCACCTACTGGCCCCTGGGCAACATTTTTTAAAAATCCATGTTTATCCTTTTCTCCTCCCTTAATGGCCATAATTGCTGTGTTTACTGTGAGTTTAACCCTGTGTAATCCCAGTGTGAGCAGAATCACCTCACTTTTAATCGAATGGCACACAATTACACGGTCCTTTTACCTGTTAAAAGTGTATCTGTCTTGGGAACCAGCAGTTAGCGTAATGGCTATGTTGCTGGACTCCCACATAGCCGACCACGGTTCGCGTCCCGGACCCGGTGGCTTAAAACTCATGCCGGGTGCGTGTGCGTGCGTGCCCAAGATCCCGAGAGGAGAATGGAGGAGAAGGGATTGCGGCATGACCATCCCCGCTGGGGGGTGATTTCTCACTTTCTGTCTCTATGTCTCTCTCTGTCTGTCTGGCGAGCGCACGCGCCCTATAACAAAAACCTCTCCAAAAAAAAAAAAGTGTATCTGTCTTTTGTCCAAATGAAGTATAAAATAAATTCATAATTTTCTTTTATAGCACAGAATCTTTAATAAGTTTCTGAGTAAGGTTAAGGGTTATATTTTGTATATATAGACTCTCGCCGGGTGCGTGTGCATGCATGTCCAAGATCCCAAGAGGAGAATGGAGGAGAAGGGATTGCGGCATGGCCATACCCCTGGGGGGTGATTTCTCACTTTCTGTCTTTCTGTCTCTGTCTTTCTGGCGAGTGCACGTGCCCTATAGTCCTCTGACTCCCATAAAGTCTCTTTATTAATCTTTTTAAATATATGTTTTAAAAGTTCATTTATTCATGATTGCGTGTGGACTTGCATGCATACGAGAGACTAAGGAAAAAAAAAGAGGGGACAGAAAACACCCTTGACGGGGTCTCATCGTGCAGTGGTCCCCCTTTCCCGAACCTCCAGCTTGTTTGGATCTTGGGCAGGCATGCGTATACCCAGCGTGTTTTCTTTCAAGCTGGTTTGCAGATCCACACCTGAAGCAAGTCACGTGGCTTCCGGCATTGCAGTTCAGTTTGCTACTGATTGCTGCCATCAGTCAGGGCCTGCCATAAGGTCTCTAGTGACCTGGTTATGTTCTTTAAAGGATATTGGAGGACCAGCAGTTAGCGTAATGGCTATGTCGCTGGACTCCCATGTAGTCGACCGTGGTTCAAGTCCTGGACCCGGAGGGCTTAAACTCGCACCGGGCGCATGTGTGTGCGTGCCCAAGATCCCAAGAGGAGAAGGGATTGTGGTGTGGCCATCCCCCCCGGGGGGTGATTTCTCACTTTCTGTCTCTCTCTGTCTTTCTGGCGAGCGCACGCACCCTATAGCAAAAACCTCTCCAAAAAAAGAAAAAGAAAAAAAAATAAAGGACATTGGTATGTTCTTTTTTTTCTTTAACTTTTTAAATTTATTTTAATTTGACCAGAGAGTGACAAAGAGAGAGAAATAAAGAGGGAAAGTGTGAAAGCAAGCCACCAGGTCTGGAACTTGAACCATGGTCAGCTATTTGAGAGTCCAGCACCCTTAACCATTATGCCGCCTGCTGCCCCCTCCCTTTTTTATTAACTTTGTTATTTATTTATTTATACATTTGTATGTTCTTTAGTCAGTGTGTCATTTCTGAAACAACAGAATAGCATCAAAATATGTGCTATTGATAGATGGCCAGCTGTTAGTACACAAACTGCATTATCTTTTGGAAAAAGCTCTCTGTTTTCAGCTGTCATTAAGTTAGGAGCTACTTCTGACTCATGGAGGAGTGCTGATTTGTTACCCCATGTGTTACCATGATGTACCTGTAATGGAAAATCTGAAAAAGTTAAGGAAGTGCCTTCCAGGAGCCGGCCAGTCTGTATTCACAGACGCCTCTTAGTTATTTCCGTAGCCAGTATCTGCGTGTTTCCAGCTGCCCAAGTGTTCCTGTCCTGTAGCCTTCTTACTTCGGTGTAAACATACTTACTCAGAATTCCAGCAGCTCTTGCGTTGGTGGTAACACCCTTGCTGTGAGCCAGGATTGATCGTCCTAACCCTCTGTGGCCTGTGGCGACTGAAGGGAATAAGGGTGTGTGTAGAAGGGCGTGGCATGCATTCTACCATATTTGAATAAGGGTCCCTAGAGAGGGTAACGCCAGAAAGAGCCTGAGCTGGGAACAGCTGAAACTGCTCCGAAAATGAAAAAGAAACGAGGCTAGAGCGTTTTCTGGATAGTAGTTACGTTTTCCTGCCTGCACACAAGTTCTCCCCATTAACAGATGACAACCAATCCAGGTGTCAAGTAAGACTGTTAGCCTTAGTAAAATCTCTGTGACGCCATTTTAACAGGAGGCCTCATTCTTCTTTCCTTATCCAGAACTAAGAGAAAAAAAGTGAATATGGTTTTTGCGCACAGAATGGATAGCAGCAAGCCATCTTTGGTTATTCCTACACTCCTGGTGCCCCTCCAAAACCACAGCTGCACCGAAACAGCCACACCTCTGGCGAGCCACGACCTGACGGAATTATCTGAGGAGCGCAGCTGGCTGAGCAACGGGACGGGCCTTCAGTACAGACTGAAACCTGGGGAGGTGGCCACGGCTGGCATTTTCTTTGGGACCCTGTGGTTGTTTTCCATCTTGGGCAATTCCCTGGTCTGTCTGGTCATCCACAGGAGCAGGAGGACTCAGTCCACCACCAACTACTTCGTGGTCTCCATGGCGTGCGCCGACCTCCTCGTCAGCATCGTCAGCACGCCTTTCGTCCTGCTCCAGTTCACCACCGGCAGATGGACCCTGGGAAGCGCACTGTGCAAGGTTGTGCGCTATTTTCAGTACCTCACTCCCGGCGTCCAGATCTACGTCCTCCTCTCCATCTGCATAGACCGCTTCTACACCATCGTCTATCCTCTGAGCTTCAAGGTGTCCAGAGAGAAAGCCAAGAAAATGATCGCAGCGTCCTGGATCTTCGACGCGGCCTTTGTGACCCCCGTGTTCTTTTTCTACGGCTCCACCTGGGACAGTCATTGTAACTACTTCCTCCCTTCCTCCTGGGAAGGGACTGCCTATACCATCGTCCACTTCTTGGTGGGCTTTGTGATTCCATCTGTCCTCATAATCTTATTTTACCAGAAGGTCATAAAGTATATTTGGAGAATAGGCACTGACGGCCGAACAGTGAGGAGGACAATGAACATTGTCCCAAGGACAAAAGTGAAAACGATCAAGATGTTCCTCATTTTGAATCTATTGTTTTTGCTCTCCTGGCTGCCTTTCCACGTAGCTCAGCTGTGGCATCCCCATGAGCAGGACTATAAGAAAAGCTCCCTTGTTTTCACAGCTGTCACGTGGATATCCTTTAGTTCTTCAGCCTCTAAACCTACTCTGTATTCCATTTATAATGCCAATTTTAGGAGGGGGATGAAAGAGACTTTCTGCATGTCTTCGATGAAGTGTTATCGAAGCAACGCCTATACTATCACAACCAGTTCAAGGATGGCCAAAAAGAACTATGTTGGCATTTCAGAAATCCCTCCTGTTGCCAAAACTATAACCAAAGACTCAATCTATGATTCATTTGACAGAGAAGCCAAGGAAAAAAAACTTGCTTGGCCTATTAACTCAAATCCACCAAATACTTTTGTCTAATTTCTCAGATTTCTTTCACTTATTGTTATGTGCCAGAGATAAAAAAGCTTTAAGTACAAAAACAGATGCTGCTTACATATTTTTTTTCACTTAACTTTCTGAGGGACATGTTTTATTTTGTAAACTGTTTTGATATATTGATTAAGGTTTTGTGGGTTTAATTCTAGTTTTTGTTCTGGGAAAGGCATTCACTTTGAACTATAGACAACATTTCTTTGACTATATTAGTTACATGTATAAAAAAGAAAACGCTGGGGACCAGCAGTTAGCGTAATGGCTGTATCGCTGGACTCCCACGTAGTCGACCGCGGTTTGAGTCCCGGACCTGGCAGCTTAAACTCACACCGGGCACGTGTGCGTACGTGCCCAAGATTCTGAGAGGAGAAAGGAGGAGAAGGGATTGCGGCATGGCCATCCCCTCTTGGGGGTGATTTCTCACTTTCTATCTCTCTGTCTCTCTCTGTCTTTCTGGCGAGCGCACACTCCCAATAGCAAAAAGCCCTCCAAAAAATGATAAATAAATGGATGAATAAACAAAATTAAGTAATTCTTTTTAGAAAATTAAATAAATCTTTGAAAAAGAAAAAGATGCCAGGCCCGCAGGTGGTATGGTGGTTAAGGTGCTGGATACAACATGGCCAACTTCCCAGATCGAGTCCCATACCCAGAGGCTTGAAAAACTTGCGAGTGCGTGTGTGTGCATGCCCCAAATCCTGAGTAAGTGGAGGAGGAGGGAGTGTAGTGTGGCCATCCTCCAGGAGGTGATTTCTCACTTTCCTGTTTCTCTACAGCAAGCGCACGTGCCCTATGGCAAAAAATCCTTTTTTTAAAAAAAAAAAAGAAAGAAAGAAAGAAAGAAAATGCTTTCCGTCTTTTTATTTACTATTATGTCCACAAAACATAAGCCAGACACACAGTCTTGGAATAATCATCCAACCAAGTTATATTCCGTCTCCTTTCTACTGAATTTTTACTCCTATTGGCTTCTGTTCCAGTTTTCCTTGTCACGTATCTCGGGTTTGTATCTCTACTACGAAGCAACATTTCCGAAGGGCTAATTTGCGTTTATTTTCACATTAGAAGGGATTGCGCCATGGCCATCCCCTCTTGGGGGTGATTTCTCACTTTCTATCTCTCTGTCTCTCTCTGTCTTTCTGGCGAGCGCACACTCCCAATAGCAAAAAGCCCTCCAAAAAATGATAAATAAATGGATGAATAAACAAAATTAAGTAATTCTTTTTAGAAAATTAAATAAATCTTTGAAAAAGAAAAAGATGCCAGGCCCGCAGGTGGTATGGTGGTTAAGGTGCTGGATACAACATGGCCAACTTCCCAGATCGAGTCCCATACCCAGAGGCTTGAAAAACTTGCGAGTGCGTGTGTGTGCATGCCCCAAATCCTGAGTAAGTGGAGGAGGAGGGAGTGTAGTGTGGCCATCCTCCAGGAGGTGATTTCTCACTTTCCTGTTTCTCTACAGCAAGCGCACGTGCCCTATGGCAAAAAATCCTTTTTTAAAAAAAAAAAAAAGAAAGAAAGAAAGAAAGAAAATGCTTTCCGTCTTTTTATTTACTATTATGTCCACAAAACATAAGCCAGACACACAGTCTTGGAATAATCATCCAACCAAGTTATATTCCGTCTCCTTTCTACTGAATTTTTACTCCTATTGGCTTCTGTTCCAGTTTTCCTTGTCACGTATCTCGGGTTTGTATCTCTACTACGAAGCAACATTTCCGAAGGGCTAATTTGCGTTTATTTTCACATTACCTTCCTCCAGGTAACCCCTGGCCAGATCATGTATTGGAATATATCAAACTTGCTGGGAAATCTTCTGTGGTCGTATATTTTTTTAAAGAATTATTTTATTGGGACCAGCAGTTAGCGTAATGGCTATGTTGCTGAACTCCCACGTAGTCGACCGCGGTTTGCATCCTGGACCTGGCGGCTTAAACTCATGCCGGGCGCACGTGCATGCGTGCCCAAGATCCCAAGAGGAGAATGGAGAAGAAGGGATTGCGGCGTGGCCATCCCCCCTGGAGGGTGATTTCTCGCTTTCTGTCTGTCTCTCTCTGTCTGTCTGGCGAGCGCACGCGCCCTGTAGCA